AAGCCGCCCTGAGTCCCCTCAGGGAAAAGGGCAGCCTATAAATACTAATAAAATCAAAAATCAAAATCAAAGTCTGAAGAAAACCCTCATCATAAAAAAAATCATGTATCAATATTTTTGCAAAAAAGATGGGATACATTTATGCATAAAATAAACATAACATGTATATCTTATGACAGATAGCAATAACATCTCTGCAAAAATTTTCCACTTTCATAGAAAAAATATAACTGCAAGGAAGCTAAGGATCTTTATCATTCAGTATGATAAACGTATTTCCCCAGTATTTATATGAGAACAGTGTTAGATATTCACCCCAGCGACAGTGGTTTCCACCAAGGTCCTCTGTTCCGGCTGGAACAGAGGTTTAATCCTATTAGTCAAAGGGTCTGACAGACCCCTTTAAAAGGGGCTGCTGTCCGACTCATCTTCGCCAATGTATCTTCACTTGCAATAAAGAGCTGTTGTTACCGTGGCCTGTGTGTGCTTTTCCATTACCCGATCTAAAAAACAGCAATATTAAATTGTTAATAAGGGGAAAATTCATGTGAATTCCATTTTCCTTTCCACCTGTTATTGTCGAGATCCAAGGAACAAAGTTTATATTTTCCATTGTGTATTTTTCCTTTTGATTAAGTAAGTCCTTGGAGCAAAGATAATATTGACTCCACAAAATAAATATGTGCAGCAGTTCCTCTGGTCTACCACTCTGAGGAAGGAAGGCAACATGAAGTTCATTTGGCTGGTAGCATTCTTGGGGGCAGCTGGTAAGCCAATAATTTGTTCATATATTTTCAAGTAGAACTTGAGTGAGCAAACTAGTGAACCTAAGGATTTCTTTTTTATCAGTTTAGGTCTGAATTTGTAAAGGTGGGACTCCCAAGCCACCAAAATTAATCTATAGAAGTGTTTCTATACTTTGACAACCTAAACATGTATGGATTTCAACTCCCAGAATTCCCAATTCAGCATGCTAGCCAAAGCTAAAGTCGTAAAAGTCATACAGCCAAAGTTGTAAAATACTAGACTAAAAAAATAGACAAAGGTTATTAATTTTAAATCACATATCTTTAACAATGACATAGCCAAGGAACTTTCTTGATGCTTTCTTGGTATTTCAGCTGAAGGCAACAAATTATACTCCATAGTGTCTGGCCTGAGATAACTTATCCCCAGGTATAATAGCAAGTCAAGAAAGAGTTGTAGCCAGGAAAAACTTAGAGCAGGCAAATTGCTTTTTAAGGCAACAGGCTTTAGACAAACATTAGGATCCCCAGTCCCTCAAATATTCTACCCATTCCTTGAAACAGACTCATTAGTCATGCCATATACTTGCAGGAGACAGGTGATCTAATAAAAATTCAAAATACAAAACGTCCATTAAAAGAGGGAAGCTGTTCAAAGGGACCTTGACTCAGGGTCCAATTCTCCTTGTTCTACTCAATGTTCTGGGGAAATTATGTGTAGCAGAAAGTAAACAACAAACCTGAAGGCAAAAAGGTGTTTCAGAATGTACAAGGGGCTCATTCATAGCATCTGTCTAGAACTCCTGAAGCCAGATACATCTTCTCCTAGGATTGTATAATTCTGAGGAAAAGCTGAAGAATCACTGCAGACATGGAGATCTGCTGCATGCATACTTCCCTACACACCAAATAATATTCCAAACTTGCATTCTGGTTCATTAATATCTCTTCATAGAAGAGTGGAAATCACTCAAAAGAAAAGGGAAGAGAAGACATTTTGAGAGGAGGTGGAAACCTATGGGCCAAGAAATAAGGGCAGGAATTCAACTGCCATGAAAACTAGTGGCATTTCTGGGTTCTGTGGTGGAAGTAGTTGACAGAGAGATAGAGTGAATGTAAATTACTTTGAGATAATTTCCTTTTTTATTATTTCCTACATCCCTCTCTCCTTCCTCCCTCCTGAACTCCCTTCTCATATGACTTCCTACTGGCTGACTAGCCAACCATCACTTGCCTGAATGGGATGACAATCCTTTAAAGTATACCAAAAATTTTGTGAATTCCTTTTGCTAAAATTGGAAAATATTTAGTTCCTGTTTCACCACTATAAAATCTTCTCTAAATATTTTCATTATCCAGTTGCCTTCCCCATCGATGATGAAGACGATGATAAGATTGTGGGGGGCTACACCTGCCAAAAGCATTTTGCTCCCTATCAGGTCTCCCTGAATGCTGGATACCATTTCTGTGGTGGTTCCATCATAAATAAACAATGGATTGTTTCAGCTGCTCATTGCTATAAATCGTAAGTAATCATCTAATTTTATTTTATTTGGAACACTCCCATTGTGCTCAAATATTTACTTGTATTGGTAAATTTAATAAAGGATATAAACACATGCTTCTATATTTAGGTATGGGTGCATACAAATGTATAGAAGTGTTCATTGCTTACCCAGTACTAGAAACCAACATGCAATTGTGTCCATCATTTTCTGGATTCAGCCATTATGGGCAACAGGATGCCCTTGTGAATGACAATATTAGTGGGCCTGGCTTTTATCTTACAGCATGTTAAAATAGGTTGGATGAAAATAGATATGACCAAAATCTCTGTTTCTTGTTTTGATTCAGCCGAATCCAAGTGAGACTTGGGGAACATAGTTTGACCAAAGATGATGGTTCCGAGCAGTACATTGATGCAATCAAAATCATTCCACATCCCAAATTCAACCGCAGAACTTTGGACAATGACATCATGCTCATCAAACTGTCCAAAACAGCCAGTCTCAATTCCCGTGTTTCAGCAATCCGTCTACCAAGCAGTTGTCCATCCACCGGAGCAATATGTTTAGTCTCTGGCTGGGGCAACACCCTCAGCAGTGGCAGTGAGTTTTCTTCAAGTTCTTTGGTCAAGATAGAATCATCTGTGATCATGTTCAGTTCAGTTTATTGAGCAAAGCTAATGATTATAGAGGGTAAATTGCTACCGGTAATACAAAAATATTTCTGCCTTTCATTTCCTGCCATTTCCATTATAAAGCTGACCATGCCATGTAAAACAATGTACCTCAATTAAATACACAGAACTTGCCTTAAGTCCAGGATTTGGTCATCTGGAAGATTTTTGCAATGAAGCAAAAGATAATTGACATCCTTAGAGCAACAATTTTATAGAAGGAGGGGGGGGGCTTCATTTCTGTCATTGTGTTGTTCAAACATTCTAAGGAAAGTCTAATATCTATTTCTGGAATTGAATACAGTTTCTTTTATCTTTCCCACAGCACACTATCCAGACCTCCTACAGTGCCTGAATGTCCCTGTACTTTCTCAGAGTGGGTGCAATAAGGCTTATCCAGGAAAAATCACCAACAATATGTTTTGTGCAGGATACCTGGAAGGTGGAAAAGACTCTTGTCAGGTAAATAATTCCCCCATTTTTATTGTATATTTTAGATGGTGTTCAAAACATATCCCACTGAATAAATTAAATTAATAGCTAGCTGGTGCTTAAGGCTGAGGATATAATAGAGAAGTGGATAGTTTGAGAGAGATATCTATATTCAGGAGCTGTCTGCAACTTCCCTGGTCTTCAGTTGCCTGCTTCTTCTAATGAATAACAAACAACATCAATCATATCACCTCCAGCTCTTATTAGGTTATGAACTATACATTGGATCTACCTCCTCTTTTAGGAAACTCTTACAAGTTAGATGGAGCATTGCTGGGATTTTCATCCTATCCTGGAAACAATTATGACATCTAATATGGAAGAGTATTAAATCAATTCCATTGGAAAACTTTTTTTACCTTAGGCAATCTATTCCTTGCCTCCATCCACTGAGTCTGAGATAATGCAAATTGTATTTCTTCACTTAATATTCTGCTTTCTGAATACATATTCATAATTTATTTCCCAGGGAGATTCTGGTGGCCCAGTTGTCTGCAATGGAGTACTCCAAGGAGTTGTCTCTTGGGGCAATGGATGTGCTCAGAAAGGTAATCCTGGTGTCTACACTAAAGTTTGCAACTACATTTCCTGGATTCAGCAAATCACCAGTTCCAACTGATCTGTACTTCCTGTCACTTTTCACAGCCATAGCTAACATTTCACAGACTGAGGAGAGAGAGATTAAAGCTGCAAAAATAAAAACTAAATTGTGCAATGGCAAGCCTGATGATTGGTATCTTTCTTTGGTGGTGGGGAAAGGTCTTGGCCTTTAAACTAGATGAGTTTTAATTCTTTTCAATGATCACATTCAAAATTAGTGAAATGATGATAAAGGAGCTGAGATGAATCAGTACTTAGATGGAAGTCTGCTCTGAACTACAAGAGGTACACAGTAGAGTGTGATTCTGAAAAAGTCAAAGAAGAATGCAAGTTGACAATGACATTGTCATGTGATGTTTCACTTCATAACTGCATTGCTAAGAGACAGAAATTTGAGTTCTAATTACCATTGAGAAGCAAGAACTGATAGTATTTCAGGATCAGATTGCAATTCTAAGTGGTTTTAGTGTCTTATAACAGTGTCCAATTCTGAAGATGAAGGAACCAAATAGTATCTGTGTTCACAAAGTTGGGATCCAAAGTGTTGTGTGCATCTTTAAAATCAGTTGATTCATGTACATTGTCTAGTATCATTTCATCTTGGCATTTATGTATGCAAATCACTGGAGAATAAAACAATCTCCATGGTTCACAAATATTTGCAGGGAACACTACTGAACCAGGAGAGAATTGGAGTAGAAAATTGATTCATCCTGGGCTGCCCCTTTGATCTTGCAGTGACAATTTTCTCTGGAATTCTATACCAACTATTGGTAGGAGTTCATAGCAACTTGATGGCACATAACATCTTTGTTGTAAATGTGTTTTTATTTTCCATTTCATTTTCGTACAGTCACATATATACTGTGCATAACCGGGGCCATATAAC